AGAAGGCCTCAGGAGGCCGAGGTAGGAGGGTTGTGAGTTCCAGGTCAGCCTGAGCCATGGACTGGGATTTCGCCTCGCCTAAAAACAATACTAACAGCAGCAATAACAAAAACAAGCAGCTGGTAGAGCCAAAGCAGTTACCAACTACAATAGCATCACGGTGTTGCTTGCTCTGGTGTGGCTGAGGTTTCCGTCACGGACTCGGGCAGGTGTTTAGGCTTTAGGATATCGTATCATGCATCGAGAGTGTTACAATATCCCTCGAAGTCAAAAAATGGGACACAAAACTCCTAATTTAAGCTGGCCACAGGGGCACACGCCTTTCGTCCTACCACTAAGGAGGAAGAGGCAGGCAGGTGGATCTCTGTGAGTTTGAGGCCATCCTGGTCAATATACCAAGTTCTTGGCCAGTCAGGGCTCCATAGCCATACCCTGTCTCAAGAAGACAAAAAGCAGGAGCTGGGGAGATGGCTCAGTGGTTAAGAGCACTTGCTGCTCTTGCAGAGGACCCAGGGTTAGTTCCCAGCATGCACATGGTGGCTCACAATCCCATCTCCAGTGGATTGGTTACCCTCTCCTGACTTCAACTGGCACCAGGCCTGCATGTGGTAAACATATATACATGCAGGCAAAAGACCACACAATAAAAAAAAAAAAAAATATATATATATATATATATATATATATATATATATATATATATATATATAAAACAACCCACTTTAAGTAAAAATTTAAAATCTAAGGAAGGCAGCTAGGGAAAAGGCCTAATGAGTCCCAAGGAAAACAGGAAAATGAAACAGGTGTAGGTAAAATAGGGTTAAAATATATGTAAACATAAGGGAGCGGGATACAGCTGGGATACAGAGTTAATAAAATGTAACTAATAATAAAAAAATTAAATTAAATTAAAAAATATATGTAAACAAGATGGCAGGAAACTCTTTAAGTGTATCTGGAGCCAACAAGGCTCTAGTCCTAAAATGGACACTGAGGACAGGCAGATGGATGCTGTCCCCATGGGCACCCAGGCCTCACTGCCCACACTTATGGACCCATGAGACTCCAAGGCTAAAGGAAGCAGGAAGAGCACCCTAAAATACTTGGGAGTCCCACTGTGGTAGGAGGGTCCTCGTACATGGGTGGAAGAGGCTGGCTTCCACCCCAAGTTGGTTGCGTGTGCCCTTGTGTAGACCATCTGACCTCTGGGGAAGCTGGCTGTGCTAATGGATCCCAGAGTTTCAGGATGAAGTTAGCGTACAAGGTCCACTCTTGCCCCTACTCTCTGATCGCTTGGGACTTGGGGTCCAACCTGAAGCAATTCGAATGCACAGGCCACTTCAAGCACACCCAGATGTGATTCTGCTCCTCCCCCTAATCCCTGGTAAACTCACTCTGATCAGTTCCAGGGCAAGCCTCCTCCAGCTGTCCTCTGGTGTGCCTCAGTGGGCCTGCTTCCTGGATGCTCTGTGCCCTTGGCGAGGGCAGAGGCTTCTCGTGTTCATGCCCAGGATGGGTGAAGAACAGAAGGTCAGAGTGGAGCTGCCGTGTAAGCGGCCATGTTCCCTTGGATGAAAGTTCGGGTCCCTCCCCCGGGGCTGAGGAAAATATTTCCAGCAGGTGAGCTCTATATCTGCTCACGAAGTTTTCAAGGACGGAGCTAGCAGTGAGCACCTGTGCAGCAGCCTGGGCAGGTGACAGAGGTCCCTGGGCAGGCTGGAACCCTGCGTCTAAAAGCTCCCGTGGCATGTGTGTGCTCAGGCATTGCCAGGCACGTGATGCAGACACGCGTGCTCTCTGAGGATCTGCCCACCTCCGCCCTTCGCCTCGAGGAGCCGCCAGCCCAAATGCTGGGCTCATAATTTTCTTCTCAGGCCTGCTGGGCTTGCTCCTCTGTATTTCACAGCGCCTCCAGGAGTCTGGGAGGCATTGGCAGGGTATGAAGAGGGTGGTGGGGTGCCTTTCCCTTCCCTCCTTTCTCTTCCTCAGGGCTCATGACGTACTTAGCATTACTGTCCTGGGTCCCACTAGTGTTGAAACCAAGAGCAGTGCTTGGGGGAGGGGGCATGGTCTGCTCTAGATGGGGGTCCCCAGAAGATCCAACGGATGGTACATATTACCTCAATCAGACTCGTAGATGGGGCCTTCAGTGGGGGAACCGCTGGCAGCAGCATGGGGCTACACTCCAGCCCTTCCCTGGTCAGCTAGGTGAATTTCTACAGGGCTGAGCTCTACCGTGTCGTCTCATGGGCATTCACGTGCCCAGCATCATGAGGTGGTGAGGTGGTCCAGGGGCAGATGGACTCCTTCAAGCCCTGGTGCCAGCAGCTTGGCCAGCAGAGGTCTACAGCAGAGTGGAGTATTGTGAAGGGGCATTGGTTACGGGCAGACCGTGGTCCTCTGGGGCTACGTGGACGGGAGGGTGTGACAGGCAGGGCTGAAGGAAGCCACTGTGGCTTAGCAAACAGGCTCCTAGACACTCGGTGGCGACCATGGCAGTAGCTGTGGTGTTGGCCGCACGTGCAGCGCTGTCTGTGGTGGTCATAGATGGTGGACTGGGAACACAGTTATAGGAGGGTGGTCTGACGTCACATGAGAGGTGACATGGGTGGTTTACTCGGGAGGCAGGTAGACCCAGGCAGACCATTTAGGGGGGCTGATGGTGACTGACTGGGAACCAACTGCTGGGCGTAGAAGAAGGTGGCTAGTGAGTTTGAACTCAATGGATAGGGTCCTCCTCTCAGGAACAGGCCAACGAGGGGCTAGAAAAGAGCTTGGGACCTTGAATGACCCTCATAACGGTGTTAATGTAGCAGGAGGCCCACTGAGAGGTGCAAAGCTCATGTGGAGGGGAATCCCTTAGAGGCACTGTGGGGACCCGCAGCGGAGGAATATGGTGGCCTGAGCAGGGTTGGGCTTCTGACAGGGGACCACAGACAAGTCTGTCCCTCCTGCAGTGGACCCCTACGTTGTGAAGGCAAGGAAAGGAGTCTGCAGTGCAAGGGTGGAGAAAGGGGTTTACAGGGCAACTGAGGCCAGAGGCATCAGGAAGGCGGGAGGAAGTATGGCATGCTGGGGAGATGTGGATGGGGCCTTTAAGAGGAGACCTGGAGGAGTGTTCCAGACTGGAGGAATGGGATGTAGATATGGGATGTAGGCCAATATCGAGTGACATCTACAAAAAGTGCAGCAGGTGGGCTGGTGGCTTCATCACCATAGCAGGAGGGGAGGAGGTTCACAGTGGGGTGGAGTAAGTCCTAGGGAAACTTTGGCTACGCTTCCTGGGCAGGAAGTCAAGAGCCTGAGTGAAGAGGCATGATCAGACTTGACAAACTCAAGGGTGTGCCCACAGCCCCTTCAAATCTTTAAAAGAAGGGAGGCTGAGACAGATCTTTCATAGAGTACAGCCACCCAGACACCCAGAGGAGGCGTGTGGAGTGTCAGTTGGCTGTCTCCTTATGGTAGCTATGCCTGTAAGGGGCAGAGGCCATAGAGCAGGGGTTGAAGACCCCTTGGGCCAAGGCGATCTCGGGGAGAGCAGAGTGGGACATGGACTTGAGGGCACACAGGGATTGTTGACATCTGTGGAAGCCTGCCAGGATGGAGTGAGTTCTAAGCATAGGCGTGTTTGGACTGAGCACATGCGCAGGGGTGAGCAGCTGGTTCCTGGCCATACACTGTGGGAAGCTGCCCATTGCAGTGTCCATAGGAAGCTCACAGGATAGCTCAAGAGCCTTCTATCAGGCCATGGCAACACTCTCTTACAGCCCAAGGTGGGGACAGTGGATGGCAGGAGGGACCTCCTGGTGCCAGGGTACGGCCAGACCTGCAGCTCAGCTTGAATGACAGTCACAGGGTCCCTTCCCTGAGTTTCCAATCCTGTTTTACAGGCATGGAAACTGAGGCAGGGCTGGACATGGCGAGCCTGTGGTACAGGGCCTTGTCTTCAGTTCTGCAGCTGTGTATGGGATGGGGATATGGGGGAGGTCACCTTGGGCTTTCTCTCATTCAAGCATCTATTACCCATCGGGCATCTCCCTCATGTTCCCCATCACCTTGAAGCAGCTTCAGGTCCTCACTGTGAAACTATTGTCTGAACTGCTAGGGGACAGTGGGGGCAGACTTGGGAGGCATGTGCCTTCTACCAGGCTTTGAACGGAAACCAAAACCCTTCATGTAAATTCATACACACAATGGAGATGGGTAGGGCTGAGGGTCTGTGGCTTCTGTGATTTCCCATCCTGCTTTCTTTTGTGAAAAGGGGGCCCAAGATAGAGGCGGCCTGATTTCTCAGGGCCCTTGGCTAGCCAACACCCTACCCCTGCAGCTGGGGTTGTGTGGCTACTGGAAAGGTGTGGCTTTTACTGTTCCCCTTGTGGAAAGTTGGGCAGGGCCTATGAACGACTCTCAGGAACATTTATTTATTCTTGTATAAACCCAGACCCAGTAGCAGGTCACCTTAGAGGGCTGGGTGAGAGGCAAACTGGCCAGCAGGTCCCCAGAGGTACTTTCTGAGTTCACTTTCAGCCTCCATAGCCGCTGGTTAAGACTTAGAGTTGGAGAACAGGCATGTTTGCTTTCTCGGGGGACCAAGCAAAGAGGCTAAGGCAATGGCTAGACTGCAGCTGATTTGGTTCTGCCAGACATGGCCTACAGCCAGGCAGCAACAGACTACAGGTGGTACACCCAGTGCCAACTCAGTAGTCATGGGTGCCCACCCAGGGGGTGACGGGCCCTGTGGCACTTGGCGCCCTTCCTTGAGGACTCGGCAAGTGCAACAAGGTTTCATTCTCCCTAGCGGCTTGCAGTTGGATACGCACAGTCGCAGGGCTGTGGGTGAGCTATAAGCAGAGGAGCAGAGCTCCGCATTGGGCGGTTGAGCCCCCGGAGTGGGCTAGGTCCTGGAGGAAACAGTGGGGTGCCCGTTGCAGGTATGCAAGGGCTGGGGTATGGACCGAGGCCCACTGGATCTAAGACAACAGGCCGGCCCGCCAGCGAACTTAACACACCGAACGTCTTTATTAAGTGCCAAGGGTCCGGGTGGCGCGGCCCCGCAGGCTCACTTCACGTGCTCAGCGGCGTGAGAGGAGCAGTAATACTTCTTATGTGCGATGAAGGTGGACAGGCTGCTGAACCTGATGTTGCACAGGCGACAGTAGCGGTGGCCGCCGCCGCCACCAGCCGGCGCAAGTGCAGGCGCAGACTGGCCCTTGCAGGGCGCCCGCGCGCCTTGATCTACCGGGTCAGAAGGCGTGTTCTCAGGAGCAGGGGACGGGGAGCGCGGCGCGCGGCCGTCGGGGCTGTCACGCGGGGCACGCTCGGCAGGTGCGCGGGGCTCAGCGCCCGGGCTGGCCGCCGGCTTGGTCACCTGCAGGCCGTGTGCCTGGCGCAAATGCTCGACCAGGTCGCCTCGAACGCGCCCGTTGGGCGGGCAGTAGGGGCAGAGGGCGGCGGTGCGCAGAGGCGCGGAGGGACACGAGTACTTCTTGTGAGCCAGATAAGCTTCGAGGCTGTGGAAGCTTACGCGACAGGCGGTGCACTCGTGGTAGTCGGCCAGCGCGGGCAGAACTGCAGGCGTGTCCGGGGGCTGGCGGCGCGGCCGCTTGCTCAAGTCTATGGGCCCGTCGGGCGCCGGGCTCGGAGAGGACGTGGGGGCGGGGCCGGCGCTCGCGCTCGCCGGTCTGGGAGGAGAGGGCAACTCCGCCGCAGGGGCCGGGACAGCGGGCACGGGGGCGGGGCCTGCTGCGGGGGGCGGGGCGCCGGCTGCGGGCAGCTCGTACAGCTTGCGACGCCGGCGCGTGCGCACGGGCGGAGCTGTCAGCGCGGGAGCCGCGGCTCCCGCGGCCGGCGTGGGTGCGGGTGGCCGGCGCGGTGGCGGGTCGTGGCGGGAGGCGCAGTAGTAGCGCTTGTGCACAATGTAGGTTTCGTGGCGGCTGAACCGGATGTTGCAGGCCTCGCACAACGTACGGCTGGGGTCGTCCTCGGCGTCGTCCACCGAGCTGCTCGGGCTCTGGCTGCCCTCGCTGCCCCGGCCCGCGGCCTCGGCCTCTGGAGTGGTGGCGCCACCCGCCTCTTCTTCTCGTGGCCCGGGCCCCGTCGGTGAGCGTGGCGGGTCTGGCTCTGCAGCGGCACCGGGGGGCGCGCGGGCTGGCCCCGTGGCTGCCTTGGGTCTGCGCGCAGCGGGCGGGTCCTCAGGCGCGCGGCGGCCGGAGCAGTAGAGGCGCTTGTGCACATAATAGTTGTTGATGTTGTTGAAGGTGATCTCGCACTCAAAGCACGTGGCGCCCTTAGTGCCAGCGAAGAGGCCGGTGGGCGTTCCGGCCGCGGCAGGACTCCCCACGCCCTGCTGCAGCCGGCCTTGCACCATCTCGGACATCTTGGCCAAGATATCTGAGGCCTGCGGCGCTGCAGGGATGGTGGTCGTGCCTGCGTCCGGACCGAACACATACTGTGGCAGGAAGAGCGTCCCGGCCACGGCTAGCTCTCCCGGCCCCGGGCTGGAGCCAGGCGTGGGGCTGGACAGTTCTGCCTTCACCCTGACTGGAGTGGGGCTGTGTGGCGAAGGTGTCCGAGACGGTGCCTGGGGACCTGGCTCTCCCGGACCTGAGGCACGGGTGGCTTCGGGCTCCTCTGCGGCTTCCACTTTGATGGTCCTGGGGGCTGCGGGAGAGTCGCTGCTACCTCCATTTTGGGGGGACACTCTGGTCTCTCCGTTGGTGACTTCGGCCAAGGCCTTACTGTCCAGGCCTGAGGATGGGGTGGGTACCTTGTCAGCGGGAGCCAGGGGGCTGTGCATCAGAGAGTGCTGTTGGAAGCTTGCCAGGCCGTCTACAAAAACACAGGACTGCATGTCAGGCCTTGGGCAGGCCCTAGGTGGGGTGGGGTAGGCAGAAGGGATTTAGGGCCATGGCTGAGGAGGTCAGCACTTGCTGAGGTCCCCTCCCCTCCCACTCATCAGGGCCCACGAAGCCGCAGCACGGCAGCTTACCTGGAGGAAGTTTGGCCGCTGGGTGTCCAGCCCCTGGAGCGTAGATCTCGCCTTTAGAGCCTGGCTGGCATACCATGTGGTTTGTCACCAGGTGGCTGTAGAGGATGTCCCTTGTGGTGGATATGAAGCCACAGTTGTGACAGACACCTGCAGGCCATGCTTTTGTGGTCAGGTTCTAGGGACTGAGCTATGCCCCAGAGACCCCATCCCAACCCTCTCCAGCCCACCTACCGCTGAGCGTGTCTGTGTGCACCTTGAGGTGGCGTTCACAGTTGGCCTTGGTGGTGAAGGCTGACAGGCAGATGAGGCACACGAAGGGGCGCTCTCCTGGAACACAGAGCGGCTGGCGTGGGTCACAGTGACAAGGAAGGAACACTGGACCCCGGCCCTTTTTAGTTTGACACCAGCCGCATGCCTCCCAGGGTCTGCCGTATACCCAGCCAGTATTGTGTGCAAGTTGCCACAAGTAAGCCTTGTGCTAGGCTGTGGAAGAGGGACAGGAGAGCTGCATGGCACATGGTGGCAAAGCAGGCTTTCCTGAGCGCCCGTCTGGCTTGGTGCTCGGCTATGCCAGGGTGGTGAGGCCAGGGCGGTGAGGGGGCACTCACCACTGTGGCTGCGCATGTGGATCTCCAGCGAGCTGGCACTGGGGCAGCTCTTTCGGCACTGGGGGAAGGGGCAGACACGCTCATTGGGGTAGGACTCCTTGGGCTTTTCCTCAGTGGCCGACACCGGGGAGCCTGCACGTTGGCGGCTGGCACAGTAGTAGAGCAGGTGGGCTTGCAGGTTCCGCTCACTGCGGTACCAGATCCCGCAGTCTTTGCAGGGGAAGACGTCTTCTGGTGGGGATGGAAGTGGGGGTGAGGTACCACCTGATGGTGGGGACCTGGCAGCAGGGAGGTTCTGGCTTTTGTTGTCCCTGATGGCTAGGGTTCTACCAGGAATGGGATCTCTGACTGATCGCCCAGGTCACCCCTGTCTCATTTTAGGACTCACCCAGCCTCTGGGGATTCCTCCTACCTCTGCACTGGAGACTCAGCTCCTACTGTTGCCTTAGGGCAAACATACGCCCCACCCTCAGTCTTCCCAATGTGTGTTTCTCATGGGGCCTGCACCCAGATCCCCCAGAGGCTGAGCCTTCCCTACCTTAGCAGGCCACATGCAACCTTCTAGCACTCAGGTCACCCTGCATTAGCTAGGTACTGTCCTTCAGTTCAGTGTCTTACTGAAGCATGATTTATCCACCCCCACACTCGTGTGTGTGTGTATGTGTGTGTGTGTGTCTAAGAGGCTGGACTTTTTACATGCTGAACGCCCAGAACCTCTAAGTTAGGCCGAAGCGCTGCTCTTTGACTTGAGTGTCACCCGAAGTCTGCCCCAGGGAGACTTACTGTTGATGACTGCGGTAGCGAGGATGGATGCCATGCCAGCCTGCTGGGGCAGCAGCTGGATGTCTGTGTGCACCGGGGCTGAGCCTCCAGGTTCTACTGGTTCCTGCACAGGGAGTCTGGGAGGACTGTGGGGCTCGGTCACAAGGAGCACTCGTAGTAGTCCACCAGAAGGCACCGCCTTGGTAACCCTGCACCAGAGGGCGTCATCTGTAGGGTGGAGGCATTTATGATGATGGGACCAATGATTCTGGGCTTACAATTGGGGCCCTTCCCTGTGTCTCCACAATGGAGCCTGCTGTACTGCCAGGGATGCGTGAGGCCAGGCAGTGGCTGTGTTCAGGTTCACAGTTGTGGCTGGCTATTGTGTGCCTGAGAAAGGATTAGGGGATGTTCCATTTCCAGTAAAAGAGTGGACATGGGGCTGGCAGAGATAATTGAGGGGGTCTTGTGTAGCCACTTGGCTGGCGTAGAGGAGTGTCTTGATGTAGCCCCCCACCCCCCAAGACCCAGCCCTTCATACTGTTGGGAATGGCCAGGTGCTGTTCCCATAATAGCCTGTAGAGGGCAGCCTCAATCAACAAAACCCACGTGTCCTGGGCCCGCAGTTTACCTCCTGGCCCAAAGTCCTGAGGCTGTCCTTCCCTGTGAGGTGTGGGCAGGGACACTGCTTCCAGCCCCAGCCCAAAGCTACTCCCAGCCAGCAGAAAGTGGGAAAAGAAAGGGGAGTATGTCTGTCCTAAGGCAGCAGTAGGAGCTGAGCTGCAGTGTAAAGCCTGGGTAAGTCCCATTATAGGGGTAAGGGTGATATAGAAAAAAAAAAAAATCACTCATCAAAGTCCATAGGATTTCTGTGGTCATTATGACCCAGTCTGCTTGGCTTGGATTTTCCAAAGTTCAAGCCCAGATCATGTCTCTTTTATTAGCATCAGCCCTATAAGGACCCTTGTCTTTTGTGGAAAGTACACTTGGGCAGGGGCAGGCTTGTTTTTGCAAGAACATGGCTGACTGCTTGCCAGCATCCAATCGGGTGTTAGGGCGTGTTCCTTCCTATTACAGACTGCCTTCTGGCTGCTCCCTCCAGTCCCATTGGCAGGGGTGGGAACATGATCCTCTCTCCCTACAGAGAGCACCAAAGCTACACACACACACACACACACACACACACACACACACACACGATGAAGTGTTGGCACAGGTCCCATATACCTGACCCCAACTCTCAATACCTTTGGACCTTGGGAAGTTGCTCTGCTTCCGCTGAGGGCCTACTCAGGAGTTGACTTTAAGGACAAAACTTCTAGAACATTTTAGCAAATAGGATGAACTGAGGGGAGACCTCTTTTGCAACCCCCAGTCTTAGAAGATTGGACAGAGGGGGTCAATTAGGATGAAATAATTTGGCCACAGCTAGACCACCTCTTCCATTTTCTAGATGGAACAACAACCCGGAAGGCAAGGGACTTAGCCTTGGTAGTAAAGGGTGGGTCTGGGTCTGAACACAGCTGGTCTAACAGAACCCAGGCTCTGCCTAAGCCCAGGAGAAGAAGCAGTGATCTCAGTGGCCACAGAGGGGCCCAGGGCAATCCATCTAGCTCTGTGTCAATAGATATTATTCGTAGCTCCTAAGATTGTCATCCTCTCACATCGGGTTCTGGGCGCTCTCTCAGTCAGGTTGACTGTCACCCAGATAGCCTTTAAGTGCGGGGCAAGACAGCTGAGTGACCCCAACCCTCTGAGAGACCTTGGAGGGGAGGGAGGCAAGCAGGTGAGGCACAGACCCTTCCTGTAGATCTCTGAGTTGGCTTCAGCTTCCGTCAGGGCCTGGGGTAGCATCCTTAGCCAGCAGGCCTCATCCACCTGCAGGGACACAGCCGGGCCCTAGGGGAGAGCAGGGATAAGAGAGGATCAGCCCACATAAGAGTGCCTAGTGAGGTTTCGCTGGGCAGTGGTACTCCAGCCTGGCAGCTCATAGGGCTGTGTGCAGTCCAAACACTGATCCTGGGAGGCACAGCAGGGACCTCTGCTCCCCAAGGTTAGGCATTAGTCTGTCTTGGAAACAAAGGTCCAGAGAGATGAAGCAGTGTGCCCAAGGGCACACAGCTCAAGATTCTAGAGCCTGCAGATGTGTGTTCCGCACTGCAACAGTGGAGCTGCTGGCACCAGGGGTATGGGCCATGCCATATAGCTGCTGGATGCCTGCAGGGATACCAGTTCTGAGAGAGAGAGAGAGAGAGGTGGGGGAGCTACAAGGGAGAGCCAGCCTTGTATCTCCCTACAGTAGAGCTTTCCTCTAGTGCAGGGTAGACCTTTTATCCCTGTCCATTCATTGGCAGCACTGTCCCTTCCCTGTGGTTGGCCACCCCAGCCCAAGACCAGCTGTGTTACTGAGGCAGAGTAAAGGGGAGGGAGTAGCCGAGGCTCTGTGCCCTCTTCACCATTATATAGGCAAGGAAGCTGAGGCAAGGGTAGGGGTTGGGGGTAGAATGTCTATCTAGCTTAGGGCTAGGCCATGCACTTCCTCTGCAGCTCTGTCTGAACCTGGAAGAAAAGAGCTCTGGGCTCAGTCCCCCAGGGCCACCAAAGCTGCTAGCTTCCTGCCCCTTACACCCTGGCTCTCAGCCCAGCAGCAGAGGAAGTATACATGGCCATGTCTCAGCGCAGACCAGGCTAGAAGGCTGGGCTGGGGTTTAGTCTCACACGGAGGACGAGGCACAGCCAGTGGCAGACAGGGGCAGCAGAAGCCAGTCCTATTGATGCTTGGAGGATGGGTGACTATTGCCATCTAAGGCATCTCCTCGCTGCGGAGCTGGATCTGAGTTCCTGGACCCAGCTACGGGGGCACATGTTTGTTTAAAAGTACAGAGCATGCCCATGTATTATTCCGTCAGCCACTTGCTGTTTTATTCAAACAAATCAGAAACCTGCACCTCGTGAACTTTTACTGGAAGGCCCAGAGCCACTGCTCTTAAGAACCCCTGTGGTGTTCATGGCAATTGGCTCACTGGGTAGGAAAGATAAACAACTGGCTGGGATAGCGGGAGAATCAGGCTGCTGATTATGTGGGGCACCACCCTGCCAGGACTGTGTTTGGCATCCCTGGGCTTCCTTGTGTGTGGTGTCCGTATATGGGCCAACCATGAGGGTCTGGTTGAAGTTTGATCTTTCCCCTGTGGCTCTTGTGGACCAACTCTTCAGAGACCCCACTCACACAACATATACAGAGCCAGCAAGATAAGGCCTACTAGCTGGGAACTCCCAGTGACCATGTACCATGAGGTCACGACAGTCCAGCCAGGTGGCTTCCACGTCACCTGCTTGCTGCCACGTGGCTTGTCATAGAGCAGAGAGTGGAGATAAGCTGGTTCTGCAGGGGAACCCTAGAGTCCTGGCAGGAGACACCTGCACCTGTGGTCTCAGTTTTCCATATACCAGCAGGTGAGGCCCACATGACAACGTTGTTGTGAAGATAGGGGGAGGGAATCCCCTGCTGGCTGTGGACTCCTCCTTGTCCTGCCATCAGGAGTGGGGCAGGCAGGCTCTTTCTGCCCTGGACACATAAGTATGGGCATGCAGGAAGCCCTCGGAGCTGCACAGACTAGCCATGGCTGCCTTACTTACGCACTGCTTGAAGGATGCCAAGAACAGGAAGTTATCTCTGGGCCTGGGTATGAGCCTTAGGTCCTGGGCCAGGCTGACAATTGCCAGAAGCCCACTGAGGGAGTGCATTCTACCCAAGAGCCTGCCTCAGGTCTGTTGGTGTCAGGATGGAGGCTCACTCTTAATGGGTATCTTGCTGACTCCCAGGGATGGAGGGGATTGGTGTGCCTTCAAGGTCACAGTTGGATACCCTAGAGCAGACCCGAGGGGTTTGCATCATGTGGGATGTGGCACCCACATTGGGGACTGAGCAGCTGGCTGTCAGTGAGGTGGCTGGATCCGGCCCTCCCTGCCTCAGCCTTCCACGTCTCTAATGAATATTAATGAGCGGAGGAGGGTGAGAAAATTAATCTGCCTGATCCTCTGATGGGTGCTGTGGTAACGATATGAAATCTAATTATTCGTCCCAATATTTCTAAACCCTCAAACTGAGACTGACAGCCTCGCGGTCGGTTTAACGCTTATCGCTCTCTGGAGCAGCATGTTCACGGCATGATAAAAACACGAGCGCGCGCATGCCACTTTGCTGACGCTGCAGAAGCTGCTCTTTCTGTGGAGGTCCCACTGCAGGGAACACCGTACCCCTCCATCCCCCCCCCCCGCTGCAGCATTGTGGCATGGGGTACACCCTTAGGGAGCAGAGCAAGGGGGCCAGGGGCTGCTGTGTATAATCCCATCAACAACCTGGGGAGACAGGTCATGCGATCCTGGCTGCCCCCAAACACACATCCTGGGCCTCCATCCATGGTCCCTTCTCTGTTTCCAGGGGGCCTGTCGTCCCAGTGTCAGGATGTCCATGTCAGGGGTTGGGATAGGGCTTTGCATTTACTCTTCTTCCTGTCTGGTTCTCTTAGGCCCCGGAGGAGGGAGTTCAACTCGACCCCACCTGACATCCAGGGCCAGCTCCCTGCCTGGCCCAGCCTCCACTGGGTCTGTATAGGTGTGTCTAGGGTCAGAGAAGGGCCTTGGCATTCATCTCACATGCTACCCCTCAAGTCATCATTTGTCTCTCCCTCCTGGCTCCAACTCCCCCTGCCCCCAGCCTAGGATGACGTCAGCCACTTTAAATTCTCCTGTGGATCTGAGCCTGCTCCTGTTCCCCTAACAAAGAGGTCAGTGTCTCGATTCTGTGGGCTGATAACTATCGGGAAACCGTATCTGTGCACCATCCGCTATGACAACTTTATCTGAGGCTGTTCCCAAACCTTGCTGTCCAACTCGTAAAGCCATTTATAGGGAAGGTAGGCCCTCTCAGGTGGGCAGCTTAGCTCAGAAATGCTATCCCAAACGGCTGCCTGGTCCCCATGTCTCCACGGGCTGGAGAACCAGGGCTGAGGCCTGTGGCCACAGGATGACTCCAATTAGGACCCCTCTCCTGACCCATCGACCTGTGCTAAGAATTTATTGATCCACTCATCTTCCACAGTGATGGCAGCTCCTTTCTTCTCCCCAGATGCCCATGGCCCACCTCACAGGTGCAGGGCCGAGGCCCACCGAGACTATGAACACTATGCACATAGGACTAGAACCAAGGTCTGAGAAGCTCTGCCCCATCCTACTGGCCTTTCAGTCATATTTGCTCATTCATGCTCTCACCCCTTCCTGAAGGCCAGCTGTGTCAGGGGCTGGGGACACAGTAAATAGGAAAGAGGAAGGACCAGGGCCTATCAAGGGCCAGGGACAATAGGACCAGCAAGTGTCAGGCCTGGGCTTGCTGTTAACTGGGCTCTGTGTTGGGAAAAGAAGCAAGGATGGTGCTGAGCCATCACAGGCAGAGAACTGCAGTGACTGACCCAGGAGAACAGTGGTCACTGCAGGGAAGGTCACAGGTGTTATGATTTATGCCATCCTTGCCAGCCATCCTTCTGGCCCCCAGCCTTTTATCTCAGGGTGGCTTTGGGGGTCCAAGGATGGAGCTAGCCACAGGCGGGCCTGAGGCTATAGTTCCCCTGGCAAAGGAGCAGGTGGGAGAGGCGGGAACCTGAGGTATTTCCTAAGCTTCTACCACACCAGACAGGGAAACTGAGGCATGGAGAAGAAGGGCCCCAGGCCCCCACAAGGCAAGCAGCAAGCCTGGACTATAAGTTCATTTCTACTTCTGCCTGGTGATCCAGCCAAATGATACCCCTGACCATCCTAGTCTCTGTGGAGTCAGCAGAATGGTGGCTTCACAGATGATACCAGAATTGTGACAGTGATGTCACTTAGAGAAAGGGTCTTTGCAAATCTGAGTTCAGAATCTCAAAATGAAAATATGAAAGTATCTGGAACACGGTAGTCCCAGGCCCAACAATGAGTGACATAAAATGAGGCAAGGGGAGACAGGAGCCACATGAAGTCAGCAGCAGACAGAGAAGGCCAAGGGTCCTGGGCCACCAGAGGCCTCAGGCAGGCTCTGCCTCAGAGACCCAGAGGACCTGCTCTGCCTCTTAGGACATGGCCTCTTCAGGCATGATAGAGTGTAACTGAGACACCAGGTTGTAGCCCCAGGGTCCATCTATGGGAGGTTCCTAAGGCTGGGCTGCAGTCTCTAAGTCGAGGCCTAGGATGCCTCAGCAGGCAAGCAAAGCAGGGCTCAAACTTAGTACCTCCCTGTCTGGGTAGAGCAGCAGTGTGCACAGCTGGGCTGCGTGTCCTGGAGGGGAGGGTGTCCTGGGCACTTTTCCCTTCCTGTTTAGAGTTGTGGCTAAAAACCAAGTTCCCCCGGTACCCCTAAAGTCCCAGCTAGGGTGGGACCCAAGGTGAGTTTGGGCTTTACCATGCCAGCTGAGGCTCTCTAGCTCCATCCCCAGGTGTGAGGGCCCCAGATCATGAGGGGTTGACCAAAGGCTGTTCCACACTCACTTAAGTGAACACTTGCCCAAAGCCATGTGAAGGCTGGGCCCAGATGGTCTCACTTCAGTCTCGCTAGCATCCTTTCTTACTGTGTCCACCACCCTGCCTTGCAGTCATGGGCTGTCCCCTGGCCTCACTGATGCAATGGTGGGCTCTGGGACAAAGTAAGTAAGCTGAGGGGGACAATGACCAGGCAGAAGCAGCGTGGCCAGGTTGGGGTAAATGGCTGTGCACTCACCATTCATCTATCCGTCCACCCATTTATGAATATGTCTACACATGATTATCCATTGATGCATCCACTATTCATTCATCCACTCATCTAAAATCCATCTACTCATCTTTCCATCCATTTCTATTCATTCATCCATCCACTTACCACCCATCTTCTCGTGCACTCAGTCTTTATCTGTGCACCATCCATCCACCCATCTACTCTAATTTACCCATCCACTCCTTCATCCATTCACTTTACCCAACTTTCTGTGCTCTCCCACTCATTCATCCATCCACCATCAATCCAGCCATCCACATCCTCATCTTCCCCCTCATCATCCATTTATTCTGGGCTTCGACCCTAAGAAGCCTTTTCAACTGTCCTCTTTTATAGGCATGGAAACCGTGTCAAATGATAGAGTCAAGACTACCGGCTCTCCACTCAGGGTGGTGTGACTCAGTTTCCTTCCTGCATACGAACCCTGGATATCTGATATGAATGGGAGCGTTGGGGGAGATTTCCCTTTCTACTTATCCCCATGGTGGGCAGCCCCCAACTTAAGAGAAGCCTGGGGAAGCAGCCGGCCGCCGTATCTACATGTGCTCCCCCCTTCTTCTCTAAGGGGAGAGGAAGAACTGCCTGGCGGCTGATAGGGCCATGGGGCAGGAGGCGACTCCTTCCTCAGGCTGCGGGGAGAACTGGGGCCCATCAGCCGAACTTGATAAGAGCCCGCTGAATGTTAGCAAAAATATTTAGACAATAAACGAAGTATCGCAAAGGCGCCCATATCTTTCAGAAATCAATCATCTGTGCCGTGTGTCTGGACGCTTGGCGCCAAGGAGGAGATAGTGCCTTGCTGGGGAGATAAGGGTTAATCATGGATTTAATTCTGTGAGATAGAGGGGAGTGAGGGAGGTGCTTCCTCCCTCTCTGGGAGCCTCAGAGGCATTGTGACTGCACTCCTTTGGCTAGCATCTGACACCTGGGTGGGGATTCTACCATCCTGCCACCTTCTCCGTCTGAGCTATGCCAGGAGAGAAACTAGATGCAGAGGGTGGCAGGGGCTCTTGTGGAGAAGGGTGGCTTGCATATGGCAGGACAGGAGTTTCAGCACAGCTAGACTGGGTTCTAATTCTCCCTTAGCTCTCTGGATCCTGGTGACTTGGGCCAGAACCTCAGAGCCTTAGCTTTGTCACCTGTAAAATGGGGGCATTTGGGGCTAACGAGATGGCTCAGTGGGTAAAGCCTCTAAGGCTGGCAATAAGGGTTCAATACCCAGGGCCCACAAGGTAGGAAGAATAAATCAATTACTCTAAGTTGTTCTCTGACCTCTACATAAGTGTGCTGGCATGTGTGGATGGATAGATGAAGAAAGGGAGAGAGAGAGAGAGAGAGAGAGAGAGAGAGAGAGAGAGAGAGAGAAATAAAATTAAAAAAATTCTGGACAGTGGTCTGCCTCCTAGGGTCTGGGGAGGATGTCATGTGGAGTGTGCCTGGGGCATACTTAATTGCCCTAACTTAGGCTTACCATACCAATGGAACAGAGGAGACGGACACTGGGCACACGGAGGCCTGGGATCCAGTCCTGGGCAGACCTGCCTTTGCTGCTGTTGCTACATGTGGGTTTTGCTGACTGCAGTCTGGAGACAGGGGTTCCAGGTTTCTGCCTGCACACAGACTCCTCCTTCTGCTAACCAGTGCCAATGGTCTCTAAGTCACTTGCTGTCCACTGTACACAATGTCCCTGCAGAGCCACTCTGAGTGGCCTGGCTTCCTTCCTACAGGACCTTAATCAGCTGTGCATCATGACACTCCCTGGACCTTGGGCCAGTCTCCTTCTGCAGACTGTACTGAGCATGGACAGGGTTAAGTACCACCCCAGGTCTAGCTCACTTAATCCACAAAGCCACCAGCAGGCACAGGGATCAATTCCTAACTCATAGAGCACGGCCTGGCCATGTCTTCTCTGCAGGCCTAGTCCTAAAGGAAGCCTCTGGGTTCCATGTGTCCTGCCTGTGGTCCCAAGGAAACAGTGGCTCTGGGCAGGACAGGATCTGCCTGAGACAAAGCAAGAAGACCCCAGGTGGACAAGCTCTGTCCAGTGCCAGCTCCTGTTCTTACTGAACAGCCTGAGACAAGTGTATTATTCCTGTTGTGTTGGTGGTTGGTCTGATGCTTGCATTTTGATGCTAATTACTAGCCCTCAAGATCTGCCTGGATAAACCTATCCTTGTTGTGTAAACCTGCCTAAGACATTATACCTGAATGGTTGATTAAAAGCCTAAAACCTGGGCAGGGCAGAATGGGGTAGGCGTGGCTAAGGTTCCTGGGCTTGGGGTTCAAGAGAATCCCAGGAGACAGATGGATAGGAAGAGAGGAGGAAGAAAGATGCCACGATGGGTTAGCTAGGAAAAGGAACCATGTGGAATGGTAGGAGGGACTCCAAGGATGGCATGGATGGAGAAAACACCAAGATGAAAAATATAAGCAAGTCTCTTGGGATTATGGATGGAATCCATAAGATAAGAATGGTTACGGCAGATGGCATTGGATGGGGGCTGGGAGATGGATGGTGAGGTTATTGAGACAGTGCAGGTAGAATATCTGCCCAGCCCAAGGTAAATAAGGCTATTATAAAATCTAACAGGTGTCTATGTCTTATTTGATTGAAACAGTGGGCTAAATAATGCTGCTGTAATAATTACAGCCTAATAATAAACATTTGTTAGGCCACGCCTTTTAAATTTATAACAACACTGGTATCTGAAAGACAGTGTGGCCAGGCCACGAGCCTCAGCAGGCGGCATGTTTGAACCTACTGAGCCTTTTCCAACATGGGACAGCCTACCCCAACACAGAGATTTTGAGTCAGCTCATATGGCTAGTACAGTAAGGGCTGTGAGTGGTGGTGGTCTGCTGCCCCACCTGGACACTCCAAAGATGACACTGTGTGCACACGTGTGCGCAGCACCCTGGCCTCCAGATGCAGGGGAAATACAGCCCTCAGCCTCACCCGCCAAGGGCACTAAGAAGGCAGCCTTAGACCCTCAGACTAAGGAACCCAGCAGCATGTGCCACTGGCCAGCCAGTGAGTATTTTGGATCAATCCACACCCAAATGCCACATCAGGCCCTATACCACAGCACTCTGGCAGCAAGACACCTCATTCTAGGACTAGCCAAGGAACCTATGGCTGGCCCAGGCCTTTGCCATTCTATGTCTCTGGACATCACACAAGCCCCTCCAGTTCCTGCTCATCGGTTGCCTACATGGCTGTCTCGTTTGTATTCCGATCTCTGTGTCCTGGTATCTGTTTCCTTCTGAAATGATTTCAAAGGAACCCACACAGACCATCAGGAGGAAGCCAGGCCGACTTGCCATAACAGAAGCAGCCTCAGAAGCAAGTCCAAGACAAACGACAGTGTAGTCGTGTGTTGGGAAGGAGGCTGCCTTAGGAAATCTCTGCCCAGGCAGGGCTGCAGTGGTGAGCAAGCGGAGCCACTGCCTGAAAGCCACACCCACCCCAGCACCTGTTGCTGTGTGGGAAGGAACTTCCTACCTTCTGAGGCTCCCCTTTGCTCAAGCTGCTGCCCAGCCCTGGCCACCTTTCCCTCCCAGCTCAGTGGGCACCCTGTTCCTTGCTGCTCACTCCCTTTGGACCCCTCTTTCTTTGCTGTGCTGGGCTCCACTTCCTGTTCCTCTAGGATGTCCCTTTGGGATCCCCAAAGCACAGTATCAACCCCTTCAGAGGCTTCCCAGAAAGTCCCTCCCTCTTACTCTTGCCTCTTTGGGTTCCACCAAAGCTCCCCTCGGAAAGGCAAGAGGTTTGGTTGGTCAGTTGGGGTTCAGCTCCTTACCGGTTCTTCCTGCTCAGGGGATAAGGCTCTGGTCTGGATGCTCCCGTGGAATGGGCCCCAGGACAGGCCCTCTGTGAGGCTCAGCCGGGCCCGCACACATCTCTGCCCATTCTGCAGTGCCAGCTCCAGCTCCTCTGAAGAGAAACAAGTGGGGTGAGGTGGCTGCTTGGTGACCCCAGCCCGCTTCTATCCCATGACCCCCACTCTGGCCACTTTCTAGACCCAGGCCTTTGCCCTTTCTGAAGACACACAGGGTTGCAGGCCACGCCATGACCTTGGTCACAGTCTGCCGCTCTGTACGTGCTGCACACTGGGTGCAGGACCTGTGGGCTAGGCTGAACGGCGGCTCTTCACGGGACATCACCCGTGACTGTGAATGTCCCTTGCATGTAGGAAAAGGTCTGCAGGCATGACTAAAAAAGATCATGAGATAAGATCACCCTGGATTAGCAGGTGGTTCTAAATAAAAGACAGTGTCCTTCAGAAAGGCAGATGGAGAAGACAGGGCAGAGGGTGTGCCACATGGGGCCTCTAGAACTTCTGGTAGATCGTGGCCTGCAGAATACTGGGTGGGGCTGCTGGCCCTCAGGCTGGAACAAGGAGACCCTTGGTTGTACTAATTGGTATTAGCTGTGGAACACACAGACATCTGGCCAGCCACCTGCCCTACTTGAGCCTCCATTTGTTTAAAGGATGTGGGAGCGCGGTCATTCCCTCAAAGGGTGCTATTTCCCCAGGCCACACACCCTCTGCTACCCAGGCTGCCAGCCTGTGGAGGCCTCACATGGCCTGGCCTGGTCCCCTGGCCAGAGTGCTGTGGCGGCCCCACTTCCTGGAGCCCCATCAGGCAGGCTGTGGCCTTAATGGGCGCGATCATCAGATAACTGGCCAGCTAATGGTGGAGATAAGGTGTAAATACGCCAGGAGGCCCCGTGGAGAGCTGTAACTAGGCCTTTGTCTTCCCCGGGCTGATAAGATGGCAGTGGACCAGGACTGGAGGCCAAGGAGGCCTGCGCCCCTTTATCAGCCTGGGAGTGGGAGAGGGGCTGAGGGGCCAGAAGGTAGGCTTTACCCTTCATAAAAGCGACCAGTCCTCTGTAGCTCACCCAGGATGCTGTCCTGGTGCAGGGCTGTCCCACTGGCTCCCCCTCCCTCACTTTTTCTTGCCCCACAGGGCATGGCCCAAAGCTGACACCGGGATGGTCAGTGCCATCTACAGGAGCAGGGACAAGGTCTGGGCAGCACTGTCCTAAGAGAGATACAGAAACTGGCCCCTGTGAAGTTTATTTCCAGTGTAGAAGAGGAAACTGAGGCCCTAAAAGGCCCACTGCTGGCAGCAGGTGTCAGGCTCCAAACCTGGCACTGACCACAGAGCCATTTACCCGCTGCTGTGACGCGACCTGCCGCTCTCCCTTGTTCTCCCTTGTTTTCGGTGCCTTTGTTCCCTGCATGATCGCCCTCAGGACAGAAACAGAATTAGAGAGGCCATGCTTACAGCTCAGCCACCTGGAATCCCACCCAGGTGTCTGAAAGGGCAGAGACGCTCTATCCCGAGAAGGGTGTGCCTGGACCTTGAGACAGACAGCTAAGTCACCTACTCCCACCTGATTCTATTCTGTGTTTAGAACATTCCGTGGGGGATGGGGCCTGGCCCCTGTCAGGAGCTCCCTCTTCCTCTGAGGCTGTGTCCTCAGAAACTGAGACACAGGGTGGAGAGGCAGTTGATGCAGGTCGCCCTGAGGGCGTGGAATGGCATGGGCAGACCCACAGACACACCCATCCAGGCTGCTACCCGTGGCAACCAGGCCCTCGTGGACAGCCTGGGCTTCAGCTTGTCTGCAGCCCCCCTGGGGAAGGAGGCAGTCGGTGCTACCCCCTTGCTTACCCACCAGCAAACGGCCCCGCACCCTAATCAGAGTTCACGGCCATGGCCCAGCCTTCCAGATAAGAGCATGGCTGGCATTTCCCACGGCAGCCACCCCATCCTCTAGGTATCACGCACTGCCAGAGAGGGCTGGTTGTTGATAAGGGCTGTGGTCCCTCTCCCAGGGGAGCAGCACCACCATTCTGCACTCGGGGACTGGGGAGGCCTGGGAGAGGTGCAGATGTACAACAATCACTGTGGTAACACACCTCTCTGGCTCGGGGTCCAGGTCAGCCAGACTGAGGGTCCCTCTTGAGGCAGATTGATAAGGGGAGGACAGCTGACGTCAGCCTCAGCTCACCCCAGCATTTTTTATAGGGCAACCGGTCCAACTGTGCACAGCAGCTCTGGTGATATTCAACATTCAGTTACTTAGATAACCTAGTTCCTGCCCCAACCCCTTGCAGCCAAAAGAGAGTTAGCACCCCAAAAAGATGTGCCCGAAGCAAGTAAAACAACACAAGAAAAGCAGGGCTTGGAGAAGCTGTTCCTTTTCCAAGGACCCGGAGACTGAGAGCACATGAAGAAAAGCCCAGCGCTTAGGGATGGGACGCCATACTGGGAGATTTGACAGACATGAGGCTGGAAAGAGTTTTCCAGAAAAGCTCCGCAGTGGTGACAGGGAACTTGGGCTGGATGAGGCATAATCTAGTCTTTGGGTTTGTGGCGCATGCTCATTATCACGGAACCCTGAGGGGTGTCTGAGGTCCATGGCCTCTACCCTGGGGAATTCCAGCAACAAGATAATGTCCAGATGCCTTCATGGGCACAGGAGCTCCCATGGTAGGCTGTCATGGTGGGTTCCAACCTGGTTCAGGTTCTGGCCACCCATTCCCTCATATGAAGAATAGAGAGTGTGCCTTTGTCTCTTACAACTTGCAGTCCTAACGTGAACACTGGCCTCGTCTTCTGTGACACAGCCCATCGCCGGGCATGACTTGCAGGGTTCCTCCTGGCATACCTGGGGGGCTGAGGCTCAGAGCGAGCCTGGAGCGATCACGTCAGTGGGGCCTTGCCACACAGCGTCAGTACCTGTTTAAGGGATGAGGTGGAAGGGAGCAGCTGGCTTCTTCCAGGCCTGAAATATTCTGGCTCTGGCCTCAGTTTCCCTATGCTCCCTGGCTGGACCCTTGATAGGAACCAGACTGTCATCACAGGTCCAGTACTGGGTCAAGGGTTAGTCTATTCAGGTAAACAACTGTACACATTGCTTCTAGAACACGTGCTGGGACTTAATTGCATTCCCCAGAAGCACCTTCAAGGAACCTAACGCATATTTATCTGTTGACAATGTCAGTCATGCATGGCCCCCGGGGCACTCACCCCAGCAGGAACAGAAGCCCAGGATTTACCTCCTCAGCTGGAGCCTGGCTGAAGGTGGGGTATCTCTGCACATTGTTGAGGTGCTGTGGGTGGCAGAACTGGTGTTCAAACCAACGGGCCGAGTCCTGACACTGCCCTAGTGTCTGTGATCCTGTCCTGCCAGAGTCTCAGTTTACTGTGTTGTGGAAGGGGTACTCACACGTCATCTTGAAGAGTCTGTGTCTGTGAGGCTAAGGGGCCGTGTTTATTACAGGGCTGAGACCAGTCTCACAGGTGGTGCCCCTGGAGCCCCTCGACCTGACTTGAGGCCCCTGAACTCCAACTCTACCTTGAAACCTAAGCGGCTTCTAACCAACCTAAGTCCTCCGGCAGTGTGCACCACGCCACCTAGTACTGGTGCGGGCCTCCCCTCTCTGCAGGTGAAGGAGCCCAGTGATCTTAAGCAGATTCCGCAAGTTCTCATCCCCAAGGGGGCCTCTCCTTTTCAAATGTTTTATTCATGGTGTGTGTATGTCTGTGTGTATCTAGGTGCCCACAGAGGCCAGAAGAGGATGTCAGATCCCTTGGGGCTGAAGCTTCCTGACACGATGACTGAGAACAAAACTTGGGTCCTCTTAACCATTGAACCACCCCTCCAGCTCCCCAAGTAGGGCCACTCTCAAGCCCTGACCTTAGAATGCCCTTCTGATGGGACCCGAGTCACCCCAGTTTGCCCATGTGAATCGTGGCTGATTTGCAAGTCTACAACAGGAGGCTGTGGTGTGGAGGAGAGTCAGGAAGGGGCTTCCTCAGCTCAAATGGGCCAGACCCTTTGTGCCAATAGCCAGGGCCTCTGGAACACCAAGCCAACCACCCAAAGCCCCCAGCATGCCCTGTGGGGTCTGTGGTTGGTATGTGGGTGCCCACCGGCTCACCACCAGCGCCTACTTATCTAATCAGCCCATCGTTCCTGCCAACCCGCCCTGTGGCTCCCACAGGACCGCTGGGGAGTGGCCCCTATCACAAGGATCACCCTGTTTGCTTTTGATAAAAGTCACAGGAAAGAAAGAAAGAAAGAAAGAAAGAAAGAAAGAAAGAAAGAAAGAAAGAAAGAAAGAAAGAAAGACAGGCATGAATGGGGAGGTAGGGAAGCCCCAGTCTGGTGGGTTCTAGAAGACTCTGCAGGTATGATTACAGAACAGGGGAGGCAAACTGGCCCAGAGGACATCTGCTCCCACTAAAACTGAGGCCCAGAAAGGGCAAGTGACTCCCTAGAGTCACACAACAGATGAAGAAAGGGTGAGAGAGCAGCTGGAATAGGCTCTCTGGATCAAGCCACACTGAAAGACAAATCTGGCTGTAAAGAGGGGCCTGTGTGTTATGTCTGCCCTTGTTCTGTTGCTGAGGCGTCAGATTCTCTGTCCGCTAAATAATTTTTAGGGAAGACAGGGGCGTTGAAAGCAATCTTCGAGAGGTCAAGGGAAGGGACTCTCCTGAGGTTATAGCCAGTAGGAGGATGGTTATGCCAGACCTTAACCACAACATTTCCCATTTACAGATAGGAATGTGAAAAGCAATAGGGGTAGGAAATGATCCTGAAAGCCCAGCAGGAACCCAGGCTCACTCGCAGGGAAGTAGACAGGGACTTCCAAGCCTGTGGCCACTGGCACAGCCAAGATGGAAAGAATTTCTGCTAGGTGTTCTGCAGAGGGATAAGATGGCTCCTGTCAGATAAGCTGCAGAGTAATAGACACTGTGGACACAAGCTTGAGTACCACCTTCGGAAGCGGAGGCACCGAGGGCTGACGTGAGCTCCCAGGGAAATGGAAGGGTCTCTGCCCTACCCTGCCCTGCCCTTGGGGGTTAGTTTCTGACCTCACAGAGCACCTGGAATTGCCAGTCACTAGG